GCAACATGATGTATGGCCTAAATACTATCACAAGTGTATAATGTCCACTGCACTGATGCCCATGTGTAGTATTAAATAACAAGGGTTCCCACATCATGGGTGGATGTGGATAGAGAAGCCAGTCCATAAAACTAAAATTAGGATAAAAACTTAGAATATATGTTCCCTTATAGCCAAATTAAAGGAATTAGTAAACATTATGATTCATAGAAAGATAAATAATCTATGCATTCATGAAACTAAATGGATTGGAGAGAAGACTAAGGACATTGATAGTTTAGGATTTACATTATGGTATTCTGGTAGGAGTCTTACTAGAAATGGTGTAGGTGCGATTATAGATAAGATTTTGAAAGATAATTAAAAAAAAAAAAATTGGAGATAGAATTATAGCTTTAAAGATTATTATTGATGTTGAGATTATTAGTATTATAAGTGCTTATGCTCTTAAAATAGGTTTAGATATATATTTAAAATTAAAATTTTAAAATAACTTGGAAGATTTAATACAAAAGATACCTCTTGAAAAAATGTTATTAATGGAGGAGATTTAAATGCACATGTTGGTAGACAAGTAGATGATTTTAATAGCATTCCTTGTGGTTATGGGTTTCGAGTGACTAATGAAGGTGGTAAGACCATATTAAATTTTTCATTAACTTATAATCTTAGAATTGATAATGCCTTAATTAAGAAAAGAGATGAGCATCTCATCATTTATTTATTTTGGACTATAAGATAAAGAGGTGAAAAATAAAATAGAAATTAAATTATCATTCTAGGATTGGATTAGGGCATTTAAAAAATATTAATAAAAATATTTTTGAGAGTATAATTCTAGATATTAAGATTTTGTCTGTGCATAAGCAAGCTTATATTATATGGGAAAAGGCCCTACAAAAAAATATTTTTAAAGGCATATTTATTATAAAACTTATATTTAAATGCCTTAAGAAATAATTATTACGGCATATTTTATTTTGCGCTAAGTAGCAGTGATTTGGCGAGAGGTTTGGCGTGAGGACGAAATCGTTCGCTAAGTTATATGCTTACGGTGCCCGCTTCGCCTCCTGTTCGCCTCCGGTTCACCTCTTTCGCTTTTTCTAGGGTTCTCTATAGCCCGCTTCTTTTCATTCGCCTCTTCTTGTTGTTCGCCTCCTCTAATCGCGAAGGCTCGCCAGGTAAACTTCTTTTGAATGTCCAATGCCACTGTCTAGGGTTCAAAAGTATTTTTTTTCTTCTTTTGATTTTTAGGGTTCTTGAGATTATATTCTATTGATATTTAGGTTCTTGAGATTCTCTCAATTTCGAAACAATCGAATAAAAGGCGATTGTTTGTAATTGCTGAAAGGTAAATATTTCGTTAAAACTCATCTGAACGTTGGTCAGGTAACTATTTCGTTGGTCTTAATACTCATCCGAACGTTGGTATGGTTTTATTTCTCTTAGTTTTCCTGTTTGATTGCTTCCTGTTTATATCAACCTGTTGCTTTAGAGTTTATACTTTGCTTTACCTGACTTGATTACAGTTTCATGACATCATTACATTAAATTTTTTTGCTTACAATTTTAAAATACCCTTACAACTGAAAGTTTTTTTCACTTACAAAGGATGTAAAAATGTCTTGGAGGGGATCGACAATTTAAAATCCCGCGGCTGTTACTTTTTATAGAGTTTATGACTTTGAAGGATTTTTTCATCTTGTAATTTAGGGATTCTTCAGATGTCTATCTTGGTGAATTTTATTCTTGGTGATTTGGAATATGATCACAATATGCTCTGATATGATACCCAGTCTTGGATCTGGGAATGTGGAGTATGAACATGGAAGCCCTTCTTCTCTAAACTTGGATAAAAAGGGGTATATATTTCAAGCATCAAGATTATAAGTTTCCTTAGATTTGAATCACTAATAGGTTATAGGTTTGGTAATCAAGGCTATAAGGAAGCCTTGATTAGCAAATGAAATGTGGAGTGAAAAATATAATCCTTAAATTATTGGGTTTAAAGAAGTCACTAAAATGAGAAATGCTGATTTAAGTTTTTCTTATTTTTGGGTGATCGACCAAATTGCATGAAAATGAGGAATATTGTGTGAAGTAAAACAAAGAGGGGAATTATGATCAAAGGAGTTGAAAATAGTATATGAAAGACCAAATAGGAGATGAGACTTGTACACTTCATCCCTTTCCCTTGTGCTCACACATCTTGATTTGCTTTTTGACATCAATTAATCTTGATTATTATGAGTTATTAAACCATGACCTAAGAAAATCATGAGTTTCTTTGTATGTTATAAAACATTGGCACAATAAAAATAGAGTTTCTTTTATGTTGTTAATATGTATTTTACATTGTCGATCCCCGCCAAGGTATTTTAGAATTTAAAAATGTCGATCCCCGCCAGGGGGGCATTGCCCCCTGTTGACCTCGATTTTGTCAGATCCCTGGACCTGAAGATTTGACTTGGTCAAATTGGCCAAGCCAAGACCCAAGGCCTCTCCTACTCAATTCAATCGGTCAATCTAAGTCTGCTGAGCCTAGACCCGGGCCTAGGGTCAACCTGGTTGACCAAGTCAACCTAGGTTGAACTATTAGGTCCTTTTGAGTCCTAATTTCAATCCTAATCAATTTCATGACTTCTTGGGCTCGAACCTCATTCCCATTAGACCTAATTGACTAAGTTGACTAAGTCATCCATTGACTTGGTCAACCCAAGTCATAATAGGTCAATTATGACCTATTTAAGGCCCATTAAAGCCTATTAAGTGCATTAAAAGCCCCATTGAAGGTCTATTATTCAAAATCCCGCCTAAATCACTCCCTCTCTCTCGGAATTTGACCCTTGATCTCATCTCCACTGTCCAAGAGAGTGAGAGGGGTTTAAATAGTGAAATTTAGGTCAAATTAAGGACTTTTTGTTCTTGCTCCCGAGAGAGACCCCCTTAGGCCTTGAGATTCTCTGTGAGAGCTCCCACATCCTTCCTCCACCCTTCCCGACCAGATCCTGGCCTCCTTGAGCCGGCGGCGGCGAGATTCCGGCAAGACTGAGCCTTTAAACTCTCCTCGACAAATCCCACTCGATCGGAGGCGTGTTGGAGCTCGACGTCAACTAGGAATTTGTTCGTAGATCTCCTACAAACGCAATGGGCCCAAGAACTCCCAAATCCCTCCATTGGATTAAGGTATATCGCACACCATAGTTAGAACACTCAAAGCTATTTAACTTTTGATAAGGTTAATATTAAATAATCCAAATGATCCCCCATTTATTCTGTTAATGAGCATGATCTACGTTTAAAATTTTGTGGAATTTGATTGATTAAATCGAGAGAAAATCGCAAAAAATGCTTTGAGTCTTTGGTTTCGCCCTAGGTCTCGAGGCACTGGATCTACGTCGTTCATCATTTGATCGATGGCCGAGATCTAGCCTTTCAGCGGTTTTGTCCATAGCGCGGCATTGAGTCAGCGCCTTTCATTTCGTTCAGTGAAATCTGGGTCGTCCATCTCACACCGCGGGAGATCGGACTGCCGTGGTGTCTTGCCGACATGGCAAGTGAAACCCGCATAACCGCGGGTTTGATTGCCCAATGATTGAAGGCGCAATCATTGCGCTGCTGCGCAATCATCGTCCTAAAACCGCGAGACCAGTCCGGTCTCACCACGCGTAAGCCTAGGAACCGCCGCCGCCACCGCGGTTTGAACCCGCAAATCCGAGCTTGCCACGTGTCCCGCGGGCCCCGACCACTGTTTAAATGATTTAATTGTATTTTAAATCTATTTTTAAATGTATAATTCTTTAATAAATCATAATAAATCAAATATAAATCCTAAAAATATACGCAATACCTTGTTTTATTCATATTCTCGGCCTCTACAATGTAAAAATTATTTTTGGTCAAAATATCAGGTATATTTAAAATTATTTTAAAACAGCCATTTTCTTTTTTTTTTCTATCTCTTTTTTTAATTATAATTATTAATTAGATTATTGTTATTATTCTAATTATAGTTATATAAATAATAACTAATGTTCTAAATCATTTTGCTACTGTTCTATTATTTTATTATTATTATTATGACTATATTTATTTAAATATAAAAGGTTTTTTTTTTATAATAACTAAATACTAGGGTGGTCAGTGGGTCTCCCTATACTTATGTATTATGAATTGACTTATTTTTAATTACTTTATTTTTTAAATATATATATTTATATTTATAAATATTTTGAAATTATGTAAAAACTATTTATAATTAAATTATAATTTTGGGAGATCCATTCCAATGGAATTTTAGACATAGGTTCTATATGTGAAGAGAAATCATGGGGGAGTGGATTAATGGATGGTTGAGTCCCAATCATTAACTAATTTCTTTATTAGGTGTATTTACTTTTCTTGTTATTCATAGTTTGCATGTGTAGGGTGCACCACCACCTAGTTTAGGCTCTCCTAGATCTAAGGACATGATGTGTTTACTATTTTTTTGTGTTACCATGCAGTTATTACCTTGAGGGTTCGTGTGAACTTCAATTTAAACCCATATAACATAGTGACATCCTAAGGATAATAATTAAGGACCCGTCTAGCGAACTTAAAAAATTTATAGGAGCTACGATAGATCACTGATTGACTTGAAAACTTAAAAAAAATTTAAACTTAGAGACATCTTGAACCTCTCAAAATTTTCAAGGAATTTTTAGGACTTGTTAGACCCCTTGATTAATCAACCCTAATTGAGTAATATGAATTTTTATTTTTAAAATTTTATTCACGTATATTTAATACAGATACAATAAAATTAGTATATTTAAAACACCTATAGCATATTCATTTTATCCTAATAAGTTTTTAGATATACTTCTTTTTTTATATAATTGGTGGCGGTTATGCCGAGAAATATTAAATTAGTAGTAGTTCTATAACGAAAAAATACGTTGTATGTATAAGAGAATAAGAATTTCCCAAAAAAAAAAAAAAAAACAAGGAACCGAAAGGTCGGCCCACGCTGGTCTACTTATGCCGCTGAGAAAACCCTAGCTTCTTACAATTACCGATCACCTTCCCTTTCCTCGTCTGTGCGGAAACCTTCTTCATCCTTCACCTGAGGAAGAAACGTCAAAGCGGTAGTTCCTTCGCCTCTTCTTTTGGGCCTTCGCCGCTTAATAAAATTTTCCATCCGTTACCTACTATTTCACTACTTCTGTGGCCTTCGCCTCTTCCGTGCTCTTCTACTTGCACAAGCCCTAGCGCGCTCCTCTCAGCCGCCTACTCCGATTTGGCTTACCTCGCCCTAGCTTCCTCCGACGGCGGTAGGTTTCTTCTCCTCCAATTATTTTGAACTCTTCAGATTCTATAACATCAATAACGTTTCTTCTTATCGGGACTCAGCCGCCTACTCCGATTTTGCTTCACTCGCCCTAGCTTCCTCCGACGAGGGCGGTAGGTTTCTTCTCCTCCAATTATTTCGTACTCTTCACTTTCTATATGGTCAATAACGTTTCTTATTGGGATGTAGGCCTCTCGCATTCCACTCTCCCTCACTTGAAAGCAGATTTTCATTAAGGTGACTAAGCATATGTTTTATATTTAAAAATTATTTGATGGTGACATATCTTGATCCAAGTTGATAATTGGGTGTTCATCATGGCCTTGCTGGTCTTGCAACTGGAAAAAGCCGCCTGATGTTTAAAAAAAAGAGTTTCTCAATTGACATGAGGAATTTGTTGTGTACTAAATGCTTGATGAATGCTCCATCTATAGTTGGTTGTACACCATTTTTTTGGTGTTTTAGATGTTATCACCTACAATTAGGTTCCGTTGATTTTTTTTTTTTGAAACATAGATAAGTTGTTGGAATCACAGGGTGCAAGTTATATCGCAGGTTTTGAGAAAGTACTATGGATTGGTGGGAATAAATTCCACTATTGCATTGATGTAAGGTTAGTTTAGGTGTTGTTGAAATTTTACTAATTCAAAATTCTCTATTAAAATTTTTTTGCTCAGTTTTGGAGAGAAAAGATTTTGGGTTTGTAAAGAAAGTTTTCTCTTCTATATTCTTTTTCTTTTTGCTAATCATTTACTCCCAACCAAGGGAGTAAATACTTTAATATTTTTTTTCCGTTTCTAGACTCCAAATTACAGTGTTAGTGTTACTCATTTAAATTATATGTTATGGAGATAGGTGAGAAGGTTTATTGGAGCCAAAGTGCATGGCATACACTGCGCTGCATTCATTTTTAGAAAGCATAAATCATCAACAATACAATTGAAAAATATCTTGAATTATTCAAAATTCAACATGCGTGAACATTAAATCCAGATAACATAGGAAATCCACTTAAATCAAATAAATTGATTTTACCTATGGTATTAGTAGGGGGAAAAAGAATGAATGACAATTCTCTATAGTTTAAACTTTATATGCCGTGATCAACTACTTAGGGTGCGTTTGGGACGGCTTCACGGCTGCTTTGCTTCAGAAAAATTTAGTAAATGTGCGTTTGGGGCATTGCGGTAGAACAAAGTTACAAAATTTTCTGCGGCCCGCTGCTGCTTCTCGCGACCTTCCATTGCGTCCCGCGGTCCCGCTGCTGTTGCTGCTTTCCGCCGTTTTGAAGGAAGTAAATGACGAAAAAATCCAATCGCCCTCACCGCTTCCTTCGTCTCCTTCCTCTCCCCTCTTATCTCTCGCCGGATCTCCCACTCCTTTATCTTCTTATAATCTCCGGCGAGATTGCTCCACCTTTTCCGGCACTGAACGACCCCCCGATTCACTCCATGTCGCCGGCAGTAAGTCGAAACCGCCGCCCACTTCGGCTCCGCCGCCGCCGCCGACGAAGTCGCCGACGATCTTCCTCTACCTCTGCTTTCCACGACTCTCTTACCTTGTATGAGAACGAGGATCTAATCTGCCGGGTCCACCGCGGAAGACGTCCTCGTCACCGGAGCTTCCAGATGGGGTTGCAATACTGCAATGTCGGATCAGAATTGAGGATTTTGATTGGATTGCATGGGGTTAATTATGTGGGGATGGCGGTGAATGTGATGGAAGCGATGAGGGGGAAAGGGAAGGGGGAGGAGGGGAGATTGATGGCTTATGTGGTGGATATGGTGGAGATGACGGAGAAGGCGGCAGCGACGCTGGTGCGTGGAGAGGGTTTGGAGGCGGTGACGGTGAGGGATGAGGAGATTGTGGAGATGAGGGAGCAGATTGGATTTTTTCGTCATTTAAAAAAAAAAATTTAAAATTTACTTCAAAATATGATATAACATTATCAAAATAAAATTAGAGAACTTTGATATTTAAAGTGGATAAAATAATAGTTTAACATTGTTAGTTTGTATTATGTACGTGAATAGAAAAAAAATGTATATTTATACAAATTTTTTTCATATTAATATATATAAGGGTAGTACGGTAATTTATTCGCATACAGGTGCAGCACAGCAGTTTGACAGTTATACTATCCAAACAAAATATAATGATTTATGTACAGTAACTTCAAAAAGCAGCTTTCTGTACACCAACTTCACAACATGTTTTACCGACAGCTGCAGCCGTCTCAAATTCACCCTAACAATCAAGCATAATTTACAGGCCTCAAAGCAACTTAGCATAGCCTAAACAACACAAATTCTTTAATGGCTAATTATTTCAACACTCTTATACGTTGTTATTAGTTTAATGTCTTCCATTGATGACATATTGCATATTGATTTTTTCCTTCAAGTCAAATTAAGGTTTTATTTGAGACGGCTTTCCTAATTTCAATAATAAGACAACATGAAATATAGTTCAACTCAAAATTCTATCTTTCTTAAATCCTAGTATTCTTTTCATTAAAATAGCAATAACATATCACATAAGAACTCATAAGTCATCAGCACTGTCATCAATAAGGGGTTCTTCATTTGAATCATTATTATGGTGAACTGCTATCTCCCCTTCCTCCTCTCCTATAGAGTCCAATGTCGGACATTTACTTCAAGATTTATGTAAGTTTTAATATATATAGCGTGAGGCGTAAGCCTCATGCCAGTGAGGCGAGGCTGGCCTCAATGCGGGCCTCAACCAAGTTGAGGCGCAAGCCTCATAAAAAAACTCGAGGCGTAAGCATTGAGGCGTTTTTTACTGGAATTGCGCAAAGGCGGGCCTCAAGGCGAGCCTCATATTGCGCAATTTTAAACCATGACTATTGCAATGTGATCCTAGTTTCTTCTTCTTCTTCCACAGTGCTGGTGAGTAACATTGCCTTTGGCCTTTATAGGGAGGCTTAGTATTTCGAGTGCGATAGACTTGGTCATATTGACATGTATAACTTGGCATTCCTTATTTTCTTAGCTATGTTGGGGCATGTTCTATGTTTTATTTTGTAAAATAGTTTTGCTCTTGTCATCTAAAATCAAACCTGCAGTCATGCTCAAATCACCATTTTCTACCCCATAGCCTCTCACATCATTTAATATTTTGCTTTGGCCGCCGCTTTAGCTCTCCGTCTTCTATGTTCATGTCTTTAGGGTTTATCCTAAAACTTTTGGTGGAGCATTTTTCAAGGATCTCCTGTTTTCCTACTGTATCTATCTTTGTGTACTTGCTTCGACGGCTTTACCATCCCCTCTTGTTCATTATTAGAAACCTTGTTTGTTTGGCTTGATCATTTTAGCAATCCTCAAATTTGGTCTATTTTTCTCAGATTACTTTAGCTTTGTTTCATGTAAATTTGTTTCTGATTGATATCATTATTTTCATAGGCTTGCCGGTATTTTGACACTTACATATGCAAAAATATGCAAAAATATGCAAAAAATAATAGGAATTCATTTTGGCTACTGGGGAAAGAAACTTACTGTTTTGAGCTTTATCTTCTTAGGGTAGTTCGTTGAATGTTCTTGTTGCGTATCTCCTGTTTTAGAGTTTGTATTAGCATAATTAAATGATTTTTTTTGGAGGTAAATGGAGGAATAATTTGTATTTATTTTTTTTCAAAGTGAAAGGATAAATATCCACGAAGATAATTGTTAAACAAATCGTTCCTTGAATGTTCTTGAGCTGATCTTGAATGATTGCAACAACAAAACAAAATAGTTTGTAAACAGTTAGAATATAAGGACAATATCCCACAGGTCCCCTGAACTTTACAGATATCATCATGCCAGTTAGTATTAATCAAAGTAACATTTACATCTTTAACACTACAACATTGGACCAAACTGATAGAGAACGGATACTGTTCAAGCAAAAGTTAGCGGACAACAATTACACATTTTGGAAGGGCAACACACAACAATCTTTATGGATAGACCATGCATAAAATACTAAAGATACAATAGGATTCTAAATTGGAGAGGAGGATCCGGCTCTCCCAATTCTCTAGTCATCAACTAGAGCCCAAATGTCTACAGAACCAAAAAAACTCCCCAAAAATCAGTCCACAAAAACCATGCCCTAACCCTAGGAAAACATACCCCTTAATGCATATAATCCAGAAGAAAATCTCTAAACAGCCCATTCAAATTTTCCTCCTAAATTCCTCTCAAAACTTTCTTAACTGGCGCCGTTGGATCCCGTGGATCGAGCGACACACACGAGAGGCGTAACTTTGTTCTGCTTTGTGTAGACTCAGGCCGATCTAACAATACCTCCCTCCCAAAGATCCATCTTGTCCTCAAGGTGGAATGATGGAAATTGATACTTCACCATCTCGTATTATTCCCACATGGTCTCTAGTCGGGTAGGTGTTTTCATTTGATCAACACTTCCTTGATCTCTCACTCTCCCTGTCACATCTCCTTTAACTCCAGTGCTTCTAACACCACCTCTATATTCTCTATTAGGGTCGCTAGTAACTGTGAACTAGCTGCATATAACACTCCTCAACTAGGAGATGTGGAACACTGGGTATCTGATAGCCATTGGGGATAACCTCAATCGATATGTCACAGACCCGATCCTTTCCAATATCTTGTAGGGGCCAAAGTATGTTTGTTCCACCTTTTTATTCCTCCAATTCGCTATTGTCCTCTATCTGTAAGGGCGGAGCTATAAGAATACTCTATCCCCAACCACGAATTGGATGTCTTTCATGTGCCCATCCACTTGTTTTTTCATAATTTGCTAAGCTTTCTACAGGTGTATCTTCAATTCCTCTAACACTTCATCTCTTTTCTCCAAGTGCTGCTCTACTGAAGAGACTGGCATGCTCCCTTGCCCAAAATACACCAAGTGTGGAGGGTCTCTTCCATACAACACTTTAAAAGGGGTCTCATCTGAGAAGATAAGTGATATAAAGTATTGTACCAGTACTCTGCCTACGCTAGCCACTTGGCCCACAACCAAGGTGTCTCTGAAGCAAAACATCGCAGGTAAATCTCCAAGCTTCTATTGACTACCTCCGTCTGTTCATCTTTCTAAGGGTGGTAGCGGTACTTCTCTTGAGAAGTGTTCATTGCAGCCTGAACATCTCCTTCTAGAATTGACTGAGAAATACCTTATCTCTATTAGATATTATCGGCTTCGGGATTCCATGCAATCTAATCACCTCTAATGAATGTTACAGCTATTGT